GTACTTTACATTATCTGTAGAAAACCTGAAACATGTATAGTTATCTTGTTTTGGCATAAATGAATTGGCATTCTCCGCTTGCCCTATCGTGTTTGGTGCGAGATTATTAGTTTATCAGTTAGATTTATCATTGAGTTTTTAAGTGTGGCTCAGGCTTTGGGGTAAACTAAGTGTACCCTAATTACCCCAAACGAATCTGTCCCTGACACGTCCACCCCGATTACCAGATAGAATACGCCTCCCGGGCTCTTGGCTTTAGGCAGTATGTTCCATGGACCTAAGAAGATGGTGACAGGTTTATGAGAAACAGAATAAACCCTTTGAATTACTATTCCTTGCAGGCCTTAACGCACATTTGGCTGCCATCCTACTCCTGTCCAACCTACCTCATTTTCCCAGGAGCCCCACTGACCTGCTGTGTATGTATGGATGTGTTTGCCCCTGAAGGGGCTCCAATAAGCATGACTGGAGCATATCATAGGGTGATTACAGACCCACACATCATATGTTCTCCAGCTGCTACTAGCTCCTGCACACTTAATGACATCACACAAATCAAACGTGAATGAGCTGGTGGACCCTTTAACATAATTTAATTCTATGCCGTTGTATGTGCTGAGACACTCATCACCTTTACCTGACACCTCGCGCTTTAGTCTTTTCACTGATCCCGTTTTAGCAACTATTGTCTCAGGAAGTGCTGTGCTGGACTGGCATCCGCATCCGACCGATTCACAAAATGCGCCCTGCAACATAGAGAGACCTACTATTTAATAATCCACATTTCACTGTTTATGCTTGTTTATGTTTAAGTTGTTTATTTCTAGCTTTTAGTTTGTTTTTGTCTGTTTGGAAGCTGGCATAGTCTCTATGGATAAGGGTTTTTCCTCGGGTACCCTAAGGAGAAAAGCTCCAGAGAGGAGTGTTTCATGTTAAAAGTTAAAATATAACAAAAGAGATTTTACTCAACAAAACAATACCTTTCAATTGCCGAACCCTATCTCTCCCCTCAACGGGTTGTATGCTTCAATGTTTCCTAATTATTTTGTCATCAAAAAATCAAACAAATAAATCAAGCCGAGAGACAGCATTACACCCAGCTGGCGAAACGGATGACAGTCTAGAAAACATCAGGGTTGAGCTTTTGACCGACGTCAGACGAAGAAACAGTGCCTCAGATGTAAGACAGAAGATGTCAAGAACATTTTCCTACCGTAGACAAGAGGTGGTGCAGGGAAGTCCAACTGCTGGGGAGTTTAAAGCTAGGTGGCCTGCACTTTTCCAGATTAATGAGGTAAAGGCATGCTTTTTTTTTGCTGAGTGTTCTTTTCAGTAATTCCTTATGTTATACATTAATTAATCTGGGCCACTTGGATTAAGATGATCCCAAATATAGGTATAAAGCTCGCATTTATAGCTGTTGTTGTTAAATGCTTGACCTGTGTACCGTACAGAGTATTTATTTGAGCAGCACTTAAAATACAAGTTGTGTATGAAAAACATAAGTGACTTAAAGTGTAGAAACATGAATAAAATTAATTTTTGATTTTTCTTATAAATAAAAAAAATATTGGATTGTTTAAGTAAGTTTGCACTACATATAGGGCCCAAACTATTTTATAGTGAGTTTGATTATTGAAATGATTGATTAATCATCTCAATAATTAATAGAGTGAAATCAGATTATCAATTCTGAATTAACCTAAAACCTTTTATTTAGCTATTAGTTTTTAGTTAGCCTCAGATTGTTAAAAGCATGTGCTAAACAAATGTAAATTAAAAATGTGACGAACAAACTTTGTTGCTCATAAGATAAAAAATAAATGGGTCAAGCTAAAACCCCTAAGACCTCTCACCGCCAAGAGGTGCTGACCTCACAGGTGAGACACTCCCACCAGCGGACAAAGAGCACAGGAAAATGTGTTGCCAACCACCTAAAACAGAAAAATATCTGATTTTTAAAACCCTTTAAACCCACTAAATGGACTGATGCCATTCATTTCTTCTTTGATTAACAGTAGTAACATCCTTCATGCACTGTATACTAACCCATATGCTAATCATGCTTTATGAAGTGATGGCAATTGCATTGTAGCATTTAATGAAGAAATAATAAATAAAATAATCATACCAATGATTAAGCACCAGTCTTCTTTTTTTCTCTGTGTGTGTCATACAGGTAAATGCTGAATTCCAGCGTATTGCAACACTTCAACTGGAGACGACCTTCGCGGCACAGTTAGACAAAATTACACCTCAGCTGATGACAGTTTTCCAGAAGAAGGGCGGTGTTTCTGGGCAGAAACTTGCCACCACTTGCAGATCATGCAAGAGGTAAATCTGAATATTGCTAATTCTATTTGGATTTCATTTGTCTTAAGTGGCAGGTAACTGGTGAGTCAAATAAGCTATTTTAGGTGACCGGGAAAGCAATCTAAATTTTGAAATTTTCATATATAAATTTTATTTACTATGTTTGAACTGACTTATGATAAAATTTACTTATTGCGAATGTCAGACATCGTTGTTGTTTTTTTCCAAATTGGTTTAATCAACTCTCTTTAAACAGGCTGAAGTCATTGTTAGCAAGTCATCTATACACACACTTTTTAGATAGATATTCACACACACACACACACACACACACACACACACACACACACACACACACACACACACAAACGACTAGATTGGAATTTAATTGTAGAGTTAATTGTTTTTCTTTTACCTTTTTATTAAATGTTTAGGACATTGAGGGAGATGACATCCAGACAGACCTAAAGAAGCACACCATGGGCATTTATGTCATCAACAAGGAGGATGGACAAAATGGATATTATGATGACATTGGAATATTTGTTGAAGGGGAGATAGTCATGGACAACATTGGATCTCCGGCCCAAGCTTGTGCATTGATGCTTGGAGTAATCTATGCACTAAACCTAGCCTACCCCAAGGAATTGAGGCACTATTATGAATTCATTCAGAAAGTGTTGATGGGATTGGATGGGGAAAGCTCTCCCCCAAAGTCCTTGGGCTGAAGAACAAAATTGCTACTGGATAGGAAGATTTCTAAAACCACACATCCAGAAAATGCTGTTATGTAAATTACCAATGACTGGTGCTCTTGTGAATAATGCAATTTCTAAATATGGATCGCAGAACAGCAAGTCTGAAACTTTGGTTACTTTTGTGGATGCAGGGTTCTAATTGTGATACTTTATACCGCTGGCAGTGTTTTCTTCTTTGTTAGAGGAAGAGAAACATTGGTTAACATTTCTCTTGTCTGTTGTTTCTGTTTTATTTGAATAGAGCTTTTTAAAGCTATTAGTTCATAGGCAAAAGTTTTGTAATTTGTATTATACAAATTACATCAATTTCCCTTAGATGTGGATTCTTATTCTGTTTGCAAAAAATTTTGCATTAATAAAAGATGTGAAAGAATTTTGTAGTTTTCATTATTGACGTTATTAAAAAGAACTACAAATCAGGGTAAGCAATATTTTTTAAGTAAAATTTACTTAATTGAAATAGAGAGAAATTAACAATTTGATTGATTTGAATATAACTTTGGGACATAAGTTTAAAGGAAACAAATTATTCTGGTACACTTAACACGACGTTAGTTGGAATTACTAATATTATTTGACTAAGTCGTATCCACAACAGTTAAGTTAAAGTAGCTTAAAAATATATGTTGGCTTTACTCGCTTAAATTAAATTCTGTGTACTTAAAAAATATTTCTGGATTCAAACAAATTTATTTCGTGCAACCACTTGTCATAAAAAAATGTAGTAAATTGAACAAAACATTTTTTTCACAAACTAACACACAATGTGTTCCAAAGATATCAAATAATTATTTCCATCACTAAAGTAATCTGTCACTACTGAAATAAAAGGTAACACTTTATAATAATGTCACACTATTAAGCATTAGTAAGGTATCAGTAAGTGCTTAATTCCTGTCGTGGAATTTTGTAAATAAAGTCTGCAACACGGAAACAGCTGTGATCAAGCTACTTATTACTGCACAGGAGAGCCAACACACACATCAAACATCACAGTACACAGGCATGCCACCTTTGCCCTTGGGACGTCTCAGCTCCTCTTTTATACTCCTCCACACACACAACTCTGTGTATCTTTTGGTTATAACAGCTTTCTGTCCCACAAGCTTTGGCTGGGCAGAGAGCAACTCCCACTATCTTTTACCAGGAAGTTTCATCCTTCTAAGCAAAACAGTTAGCAGATAATATACTGAAACATCATTATGCCTAGCTAAGCAGTCTAAATATATAATCTAATGGCTGACGGAATGAGTCAAATACCAAGCAATGGCAAAAGATTCCTGTAATCCTTTTGCCATGAAATGCGCTGATGACCTTTTGTTCACAGGGGCGCCTAGCACATTTCCAGGAAAATGACTAAAAACGAAACTCATCGTGTTTTAGTTTCAGTTTAAAATCGAGGAACAATGCCCCATTATTGTGTCTCTCACACTCCTGCTGGGTATTTTTGACATTGTGAGAATGACTGTGCTGACTATCATTAGTGGTAGACTTCAGTCTGTGTCTGTTAAGCTGTGGTGGCACCTATTCTTGAAAATCATCCTGAAAAGTTGTGCTGTTATATAGCGCATAACCTTTTGACTTAAAAACAAAATAAACCAACAGATTGGTGTGATTTTTTTTTATTCATTATCTTAACTTTCATTAAATGTTGCATTCTTGCTGGATATTCTCACTAACAGTTTGTTTTCTTGACACTATCCTGCAGACGCTGGCTATTTCTCAAAACTCCAGTGAGTTTCGGATTTTCTTTTGACACAAAAGGTGCTCTTTGCTCCGCTCTTGTTTTCTTTCTTTCTTTCTTTAATGTTTAATGTCCACTTTTATTAAGTCATCTATTCAGCACCTCCAATATTTAACTCAGCTCACCCCCGCCGCCCCCCGACTTTTGAAACTTCCTCCACAAATATTCCCCTCCTCCTCGTGTGACCTTCTCCGACACTATAAAAGTAATCACCCAGGATTTTTTCAGTCGGATTTTCTTGTGCGTTTTCGCTTTGGCTGTGCAGACATCTCTCTGAATTCCTCGCAGCTTTCTCCGCTCCCCCTCCAGGTAAGCTGGTTTCCTTCACAGAGAAGTCGAGGCACGGCAGTGTGCAGATTGCAGGTAGAGTGCAGGAGGCTGCTGATTTAGAATAATGGATCGAACGTGGAAAGAACAAAACAGTCCCGGGGATACCCCCAATGAATATGACAGTAATGTTGAGTGCGCACATTTTTGAACACATAAGGCTCTGTGTGAAATGCATCACACAGAGCCTTATTCAGTGTGTGTTCAAAAATGTCTGAACGTTTTCTCTTTCTGTTCCCAGTGACAACAAAATATAATTAGCATTGAGCAAATGTATGCGTTTGTGAACTAACTTTGACGGTGTCTAACGATAAGATGACCGAGTTTTGTCGATTCAGGGATGTTTTCTGTGCACCTGGTCAAATATAAATGTCTCAATATGTTATTTCTGTGAGTCAGACTGTTTAACCCGAACATATGGAACAAAAACTTACTTTTCGTATATTTAGAGATATACATATATATATACACACACACACACACACACACACACACACACACACACACACACACACACATATATCTATCTATCTGTGTGTGTGTATATACACATATGTGTGTGTGTGTGTGTATGTATATATATATATATATATATATATATATATATATATATATATATATATATATATATACATACACACACACACACACATATATATATATGTATATATATATACATACATATATATATATATATACATACACACACACACACACACACACACACACACACACACACAACCTTTTTAAACTGGTGATATGTTGACGATTTGTCACCTAGCGTAAAATGTGACGCTTTGAGAGTGAGAACGTGTTGTCTATCGCTAAACGACAATAGTATAAGTGACAGAACTGATCATATCAGCACCACACTTGAACTATGCAGCTGATGTTTTTGTTTGTCATTGTTATCCTGCTCGCATACTGTTACTGATATAAAGAGTGTCAGCCCCACAACTAAAGCAGACATCTTATCTGCACTTAATGTTAGTCTAAGAAGCCAAGTAAGATAGTGAGATAAGATAATTATAATAAAATGCAATAAACAAAAATATTCCTTAAAAAATAAAAAGAAACACCTCAGTGGTTGCTTGGACTCCTGCACCCACCACTTATCTAACTGCACTGACTTCACCTATTAAGAATACGTCTATGAACCTGACCTTGCCACCATAGCCTAATCCCATCATTAAAGAAGCTGTTCAACTTGAAATCTGTCTCAGGTTTGAATGAGATAAAATGGCTCAATAAATTAAGACTTTCACTGTTGTTCAGCTACATTCACAAGTGCAGTTACCATATTGAACATCCCAAGTTGTTCAGAAATGTCTCTTGGAGCCATAATGAACTCAATAAGAAGAGGAAGTCAGGCATTTGGATTTTACAGAATAAAATTAATACGATTTAATAATTTTTCAGGATTTTTACTTATCAAACTCCTTCTGGAACATCAATATTTCAAAATACAGATCAATGTAAAGATGAAGGGAATAAAAACTAACTTAAATGAAAGGGACCTCTAACAGGACTCAGGAAGGAGCAGCCATCTGCAGCAACCAGTGGAGAGATGAGAGGGGAAGAAGGAGAGAAAAGAGACAAGGATAAAATGCATAATTCATTCTAATTTAATAAAACAGTCCTTGACGATAATTCCCTTCTAACTCTGTAGTATGCATAGTTTTTGCAGGTTCTGCCGGTTCATACTTTTGTGATCAGCAATGACTGATGCAGCTTACTGAGCAGTCCTATAAAACATAAAGATATTAGCGGTGACTTTTTTCATATCAACATTTCTTCAGAGGATGTTCTTGGTCTCATTTGCTGAGATAAGGCAGATTATTTATGAAACTATTTCAATCTGCAATAATTGGACTGCAACTTATGATGGAATAAAGTACTAATTTGAATTAAATGTTCGGTCAAATGATGCTGAGAATGGTTATTAAAATTCTCTCTTCATCTGGGTTTTTCTACTTTAAGGGTGACAATGATTAACTATGAAGTGACCGTGTTCACTGGCAATCTGGCCTTGGCCTCCACTTTCAATAACGTCTACATTACACTGGTCGGGACAGATGGAGAGAGCAAACGCATTGATCTCACAAGCTGGAAACCATCTTTCTTCAGAGGGCAAGTGAGTCTGAAACCCCTCTGCATATTAAAACTATTTAAAACTACATGTGATGTGGATCTTTTGTTTTTATTTTTGTTTTGTTTTTCCAGGTATCTCATTTTATTGTGTCCTGCCCCAAATCCCTTGGAAAGCTGGTGATGATAAAGTTAGACAAACAGAAAAGGTTTCTCCAAGACTCTTGGTATCCTGCCAAGGTGGAAGTGAAATCCCCTACAAACAAAACCTACCACTTCCCCATCTACCACTGGATTACTGACAGTGAGGTCTATTGCTTCAGAGAGGGGACAGGTTTGTGGAAATGTGCTTGTCTTATTTATACGTTTCAATGACACCCAAAAAGATAACCAATAAAGAGGCAATAAAGGTGATCAAGCAAAACTGCAATGATACTGTATTTTAAAAGATGATAATATACTATTTTTTATCTTTTTCAAATCTTTTATGAAGCTCTCAGAATCTTTGATGACAGCAACAGTCATCTTGGTGGGTGCAGTCGGCAGCAGGAACTTAAGCAGCGACAGAAAGTCTTTTGGTAAGAAATTAGAGTATTTTTACATTTTGCATCTTAACATTAAGTTGCCTGAAATCAAAATTTGGTGTATATTAATGAAATATGGAAACAAATAAATATCACATAAAATCCACCAGGATTTATAAAAAATATCATGTAAAATTTAAGTGTGTTAGGTTTATATATAATCTTCATTGAGACTGCAGATACATTGGTAATTAGGCTCTCCACTCACCACTCTGTTATCGCTATCGTGCCCAGCTGGGATGTATATGCACAGGGGATACCGCACTGCATTAAGGGAAACAGCATTCAGTCTCTGCCCTATGATGTCCATTTTTCCTTGACCAAGACAGCAGAGATGAAATACACTGCAGTCACAGGGTGAAGTATTCATGTCCTGTTACACATCTCTTTTTATCTCTACACATCTAATGAAATTATAAGCATCATAATAAGTAATGTTTTTCTTTTCTAGACTGGTAGAGTTGGAACTGATTGAAATGGCTGAGTTAAAGAAAAACTGGACTCACATAGATGATATTAGTCATCTTTTATGCGCTCATCGAACTCAAGTAACAGGTAACAAATCATCAGAAGTTCATTCACTCAAACATTGCTCATACTTCACGATGTTATATAATTATAATAATAATAATAATAATAATAATAATAATAATAATAATAATAATAATAATAATTTTTATTTATGAGCGTCTTTCAAGTCACCCAAGGACACTTTACAATAAGATAAAACACTTAGTAAAACAATGGCAGAATAAGAACAATAAAATAAAAGCACAAGATGAAATTAACAAACAGTGGATTCACAGTGAATATTCAGATTTGGACAGATGAGTTTTGAGTTGGGATTTAAACTGGGGGAGAGAACCAATGTTTCTTATTTCTGGGGGCAGAGAGTTCCACAGCCTGGGAGCAGAGCAGCTGAAAGCTCTGCTTCCCATGGTGGTGAGGCGGAAGGAAGATACAGTAAGCTGGATAGAAGAAGAAGAACGAAGTGAACGGGCAGAACAGGTGGTGGTTAACAGGTCAGAAAGGTAAGGATGAGCGAGGTTATGAATGACCTTGAAGGTGAGCAGAAGAAGTTTGAAAATTATCCGGAATTTCACAGGCAGCCAGTGAAGTTCCTGAAGAACAGGGGTGATGTGCTGGTAAGAGGGGGTTCTGGTGATAATGCGAGCAGCAGAGTTCTGAACCAGTTGAAGCTTATGGAGGGATTTTTGGAGGAGACCATGCAAAAGAGAATTGCAGTAGTCAATACGGGAGGTAACAAGACTGTGGACAAGAATGGACGTAGACTAGGTGGAAAGAGAAGGAAGCAATCTGTTAATGTTACGTAGATGGAAGTAGGCAGAACGGGTGAGATTATTGATGTGAGATTTATAGGAAAGTGAACTGTCTAGGATGACACCAAGGCTCTTAACCTGAGTAGAATGGAAAACTGTGGAGTTATCGATGGTAAGTGAGAAATGGTTTGCCTTCAAAAGGTTGGATTTGGTGCCAATAAGGAGGATATCAGTTTTATCCTCATTGAGCTTTAGAAAATTAGAGGTACACCAGGATTTTAACTCGGATAGACACTCTGTAAGGGAAGAAGGTGGGAGGGAGGAATCAGGTTTGCAAGAGAGATATAACTGGGTGTCATCAGCAAAACAGTGAAACTGAAGATCAAATTTGCGGAAGACGGTACCTAGAGGGAGGATGTATATTATAAAGAGAAGAGGGCCTAAAACTGAGCCTTGGGGTACACCAGAGGTGACGGGGAATAGACGAGAGCGGAATGATCTTAGTTGAATAAACTGGGAACGGTCGAGGAGACATGATTGAAACCAGGCGAGGGTGTGTCAGAGATGCCGAGAGAGGGAAGTCTGCTTAGAAGGACAGAGTGAGAAATGGTGTCAAAGGCTGAGCTCAGATCTAAAAGGACGAGAATGGTGAGAAGACCAGAGTCAGCTCCGATTAGAAGATCGTTAGTGACTTTAAGTAGAGCAGTTTCGGTACTGTGACATGAGCGAAAACCAGATTGAAATCTCTCGTAGATGTTATTATTAACCAGGTGTAAATGAAGTTGAGCTGCAACCACTTTTTCGAGTATCTTAGAAATGAAGGGTAGATTGGAAATCGGACGGAGGTTGCTAAAGTTGTTAGGATCTAAAGAAGGTTTTTTCAGTATAGGAGTGACTAGAGCAGTCTTCAATAAGGAGGGAACGATACCGGTGGTGTGAGAAGAGTGAATGATAGCAGAAATGAGTGGGAGTAAAGAAGAGAGGCAGGATTTCACAAGCCCTGTGGGCATGGGGTCAACATGACATGTGGCAGGCTTTGATTTACATATGAACTCGGAAATATCAGATAAATCAGGAAGATGAAAAGTGGAAAACGGCTCAAAAAGGAGAAAAGGTTCTGGAGAGGGCGTAGACACAACATTTGATCTGAGTTGCTGGTGGATGTTATTGATTTTCGTAGTCCTGAACAGCATCAAGGAGTTGCAGGTTTCAGAGGAATAGAAGTGTGGTGGTAAAGCGTTGGGGGGTTGAATTAGTTTGTTGAGAACTGAAAACAGAGTCCTTGTATTACCCTCATAAGAACTGATAATACCAGAGTAGAAGCTTTGTTTGGCCTTGTTGATGGAGTCTTTATACTGAAGTACGTGGTATTTATAGATTTCTGAATCAACAGTTAAACCAGATTTCTTATATTTACGCTCTATCTGCCGAGCTTTGGCCTTCAGAGCTCGGAGGTCAGAGGTAAACCAGGGAGCAGAGCGAGCGAAGGAAACAGAGTGGGTTTTTACAGGAGCCAGAGAATCAAGGACAGTGCATAGACAATTATTATAATATAACAACAAATCATAAGGAGTAGAATAGAAGTCCGGAATCTGAACATTGTCCAAACTGGTAGTGAGAATGTCCATATCAATGTTCTTGATGTTGCGGAACAAGATGAGACGGGTTGGCTTGGTAGAAGAGCAGCAGAGAGTGAGGTTAAATGAAAGGAGGAAGTGGTCAGTTATGGGGATTTCAGTAGCAGAAAGATTCAAGGGAGTAAGACCAGAACAGCAGACCAAGTCCAGGGTGTGTCCTTTAGAGTGAGTGGGAAAGTCGATAAATTGTTTAAATTCAGAGCCTTCGAGACAGAAGGAAAAGTCTCTGGTGAGCAGAAGGTCATTATTGTCCATGTGAATGTTGAAATCTCCCACCAAGATCACATTTGGGGAGAGAGATGAAAGATGGGTTAGTAGATTAGCAAAGTCACTGAGGAAGACAGGGTTAGGTTTGGGGGGGGCGGTATACAGTAGCTATGATGGTGGGAATGGGTCCAGTCAGCTCACATGCAAGGACCTCTAGAGAACTAAAGGTATCAACGTTAACTGGCAGGACTTTCAAGTGCTGGCGAAAAAGGATTGCGAGACCACCCCCACAACCTGAGCAGCGGGGTTTAGAAAAGTAAACAAACCCCAGAGGAGCAGATTCTTTTAGCTGAGAAAAGTCATCAGGTTGTTGCCAGGTTTCAGTTAAGCAGAAAAAGTCAAACTTACGGTCAGATAGGAGGTCTTGGGTGAGAGGTCCCTTACTTGTCAATGAACGAATGTTTAGAAGACCGAAGTTGAGTGGAGTATCTTCTTTTTTGCTAATCGCGGTGGGCGCCCTGGGCAGGTGGGCTAGAGATCGATGGTTAACAGCCCGATCAGGGTTCCTGCGAGTGCGGCGAGTAGCAGACCAGAATGATTTAGTTCCATTGGAGTTATGGAAAATCCTGCGGGACCCGCGATGGATGTATCTCCGGCGAGGCTGGAAAGTGATGCCGGGTGGTAGTGGAGCTCCGCCGGCGACGGGACCGATAGCTGCCCGCGAAGGCGCAGGAGCTCAGCGGCTGTATAGCGGAGCAGTCCAGCCGTAGGATGGTAGACGAGCATCAGGAGAATCCAAAATAGTGCCGACCAGCTCAGGAACATCTTGGTCCACATCTTCGATTATGTGGAGGAAAAGGAGCCAAGCCGGCCGGAGCAACGAACAGGTAGGCTAAAATAGCTCAAACAGTTACGCTAGTGCAGCTCACTGAGAAGAAGACGTGAGAACACATTCAGCTGAAATAACAGAAGTTGAGGACAAGCGTTGCAAGTCAATCCCTGGCAGAGATCGATCTGGTCCTGAGTGTGAATGTTCCTGTTCATTCAAATCTAAATCCAAATAATACAATTAATCCAAATAAATCCAAATAATCGAAAAATGTACCGGTGAGTACACCGGAAATCAAATATATTCAACTACACTTAAAAACAAGAATGGTTTCTAGTCTGTTTCTTGTGTTGATTTTTGGACTCTTAGTCAATGTATGTCAGTTTCCTGTTTATTATTCTAGTGTTTGAACGTTTTGATCATTTTTAGTCTTTTTCAGTTGTGCTTTTATCATACAAGTAAATCTGAGCATTAGTTCTTGTTGTATTTTTTGACTTCCTGTTCACAGTTCAGTTTAAAATGAGCTTTGAGTACAAACCTAGATTGCTCTACTGTTAAAATATTAGTTTTGAATTCCTTATTTGTATAGCCTGAGAAATGAATAACCTCACAGGACACAATTACTGGGGTTCTTAATGTGCAGTCTTTTGTTTTCGGTGAAGACAGAATAATCAAAAATGGACCAGAGAAATAAAAGAGGTAAAATAAATGAAATATATACAAAGAAGAAATATGGCAGTGGCCTCTGGATTCCACAGCAATATTTCAGCTCACCTGGATACTGGAGAACACATATGATATCACAACTTATCCCCTACACACAGAAAATAGCCGCCCTAAGGTGCACGTGCAGGTCCTTTGCATCATTGATTTCTTGCCAATGATATCACCTTTTTGTAAAAAACAGTAATTCCCAAGATGCATTTTTTCTAAGTTTTGGTAAAACTGCAGTAAACTCTTAAGCACTGCCCCTGGTGACCAAAATATGCAATGACACAAATCACCAAAATGAACAAATTAAAGTGCACACTACATGCAGAAAACAGGAAACTGTGTAAACAATGAAATTAAACTACTCAATAACATTTTTGTTTTAACATAAATATAAACAAAGAACATGCATTCAAAGAAATTTTTAGAGCTCTTTTTTCACCTTAAACTGATATTTTTTTAAACTAAAGTAGAAAATATTATTATCTGTATACTTGTACACTTGGCTACATTTGTATTAAACCACAGTTTATTGTTTGAGTTTGTAATCTTTTGAGTGTTCAGCTCCCTCAGTGTGTTATTATCCGCCCCTCCTCTGCCTTCTGTTCATCCTCAGACTCTTCATGTTTATTTTATTCTGTACTTGATGTTTGGCCATCTGAATTCAGGTTTGGGTTGTTCCTTTTTTTTATTTTGTTTTCATTTGTGTCCAACATCAGTTTGACTTCCTGCATATGCTTTGTGTTAGTTTTCACTTGTTATGTGTGTTTATGTGTGTGCTTGTGCATAAATAGGCCTGACCTCCCTGTAGACTTTGCTGGATCATCTGCTGTTAATCCTCTGTGCGTTTCTTTGCATGTGATTTTGAAGTTACCTCTATCTTCATCTTAATGCAGTGATCTGTGCAATCCATCCTTTTCTGACTGTGAACTATGGTTTCAGAGTTGGAAGTTCCAATTCTGAGCCCAACCCCTTTGTACTAAGCTGTAGACCACCCCAGTGCAACTTAGTGTTTGTTGCAGCTAGAAGTTTTTTAAGAACAGACAAAGGTTTTTGGAGATCAAAAAACTTCCTTCAGGGAAATCCCCAATTGTCCCTGTGTCATCGGAGATTTCTGGGCACTATGTTGTCTTTAGGTAGGATCAAAAAGTTGATTCTGTTCATCTGGACGTAGCGTTTTCAGTGGGAGAAATGTTTCATCACCCATCCAAGTGACTTCTTCAGGCTCAGCTGACTGCAGATTTCCACAAACTTATAAACAGTACTTTTGCACCGCGACTGTTCATTAAGTGGTCATGACAATTTGCATAGTAATGATCATGATCAAGGAACTGAGTCAGCCAATTGTTCATTCAGTGGTGCTAGTTTCAGTTATTGTGCAAATGTACTGTTTATAAAGTTGGGGAAACCTGCAGTGACTGAAGAAGTCACTTGGATGAGTGATGAAATGTTTTTTCAGACCTGAATGATTTAGCATGCATCAAGAGGGCACACTTTCTTCTTAAGATGCAAAAAAACCCATAAAAGGCAAAGCAAAAAAGAACACAAATGGATTTCTAAAAAGAAACAGAACACACGGCAGAAAACGAAACAGCAGCAATGTTTGTAGCATTATTGAAATTGGGCTAGCTGGCATATAATGGTTTGCTACGTGGTGGCTACCTATAGACCTATGGTTAGAAAAATATAAACAATAGCACATTGAGGATGGAGGATGAGCATCAGCCCCCCCCCCCCCCCCCCCCCCCCAAAAAAAAAAGCAAAAAAACAAAAAAAACAAAACAAAAAAAGACAATGTGAGGGTCCCCGATTTCCCTGCTGGGAGAAGATACTGAACATTGCCTAAATTTGAGTCAAGAGAACATCTGAGATTATCCATGCCCAATCCAAGGTTAGCCAGTAATATCTAACTACTACATATTTTGGATGATCACTATGAGAAATTGAAAAATTGCTGATCCTGAGCTCTGACTCTTCTCTGAAGCATTCAGATATTTGGTGTATTGGTAAACTGTTAGCCCATTGACTGTAGTTACATCATAAGGTTTTAAAAACTGAGCTTGAACATGTGCTGCATATAAATGATGCTAATAAAAAACCAGAGAGGTTGCCAATTACCCCAATGATGAGGCTTCATTATATTAAATAAAACAAGATACAAAGTGTTACAGCACATTAAAAAGAGCAGCCTGAATGAATGCATTAAGACCTTGGGCCCAGAAGTAGGGAAACTTACAGAATCAAGGGGATAAACACCACATCTTACTGAGACACATATTTCTGAGAATATAAGCATCCGCAGGAAGTTTCTACAAAAGCATGAGCAGAATCAATCAGCTACAGTGTAACCAATACAGACTGAGGAAGCAGCGGCGTAAACATGACTCCTACCTGTGACAGCTACGGAAGCCACATGAGCAGAGACCTGGATGTATAGGGCAACAGGTAAGTAAGAGAGGGATGCTCAGATAGCAGCTATTTATAATGTGACTGCATAATTTAATTGGCCATCAAAAAGCAATCAGCAATACATTATTAAACGAAAAATTAATTCTGCTAAACTCAAACAGTATGGGATGAGTTTAACTATCATATGGACATATGCCAAGCGTCCGGAGCGGGACACAGACAAAAACACTTAACCCTCTGAGTCAAGACCCAGGAACATGACAAAACTCACCTAAATAAGTAACCAAAATATGGTTATTCATCAAATAATGAGGATAATAGATCAAATGCAATGAATTAAAAGCATATCTCTTCCTTCTTCTTCAGCTAAAGCAGAAACCAGCAAAGGACAACCCAATCTTCCTTCCTACTGATTCTGAGTATGACTGGTTGATGGCCAAAATCTTTGTGAGAAGTGCAGATTTCAACTTCTATGAAGTCAGTGTTCACCTGCTACGCACACACCTGCTGGCTGAGGTTTTTACAGTCTCACTGCTGCGTAACCTGCCCATGGTGCATCCACTGTACAAGGTACAGTGGGGCAAAAAAGTATTTAGTCAGCCACCGATTGTGCAAGTTCCCCACCTAAAATGATGACAGAGGTCAGTAATTTGCACCAGAGGTACACTTCAACTGTGAGAGACAGAATGTGAAAAAAAAAATCCATGAATCCACATGGTAGGATTTGTAAAGAATTTATTGGTAAATCAGGGTGGAAAATAAGTATTTGGTCAATAACAAAAATACAACTCAATAATTTGTAACATAACCTTTGTTGGCAATAACAGAGGTCAAACGTTTACTATAGGTCTTTACCAGGTTTGCACACACAGTAGCTGGTATTTTGGCCCATTCCTCCATGCAGATCTTCTCGAGAGCAGTGATGTTTTGGGGCTGTCGCCGAGCAACACGGACTTTCAACTCCCGCCACAGATTTTCTATGGGGTTGAGGTCTGGAGACTGGCTAGGCCACTCCAGGACTTTCAAATGCTTCTTACGGAGCCACTCCTTTGTTGCCCGGGCGGTGTGTTTTGGATCATTGTCATGTTGGAAGACCCAGCCTCGTTTCATCTTCAAAGTTCTCACTGATGGAAGGAGGTTTTGGCTCAAAATCTCACGATACATGGCCCCATTCATTCTGTCCTTAACACGGATCAGTCGTCCTGTCCCCTTGGCAGAAAAACAGCCCCATAGCATGATGTTTCCACCCCCATGCTTCACAGTAGGTATGGTGTTCTTGGGATGCAACTCAGTATTCTTCTTCCTCCAAACACGACGAGTTGAGTTTATACCAAAAAGTTCTACTTTGGTTTCATCTGACCACATGACATTCTCCCAATCCTCTGCTGTATCATCCATGTGCTCTCTGGCAAACTTCAGACGGGCCTGGACATGCACTGGCTTCAGCAGCGGAACACGTCTGGCACTGCGGGATTTGATTCCCTGCCGTTGTAGTGTGTTACTGATGGTGACCTTTGTTACTTTGGTCCCAGCTCTCTGCAGGTCATTCACCAGGTCCCCCCGTGTGGTTCTGGGATCTTTGCTCACCGTTCTCATGATCATTTTGACCCCACGGGATGAGATCTTGCGTGGAGCCCCAGATCGAGGGAGATTATCAGTGGTCTTGTATGTCTTCCATTTTCTGATGATTGCTCCCACAGTTGATTTTTTCACACCAAGCTGCTTGCCTATTGTAGATTCACTCTTCCCAGTCTGGTGCAGGTCTACAATACTTTTCCTGGTGTCCTTCGAAAGCTCTTTGGTCTTGGCCATGGCGGAGTTTGGAGTCTGACTGTTTGAGGCTGTGGACAGGTGTCTTTTATACAGATGATGAGTTCAAACAGGTGCCATTCATACAGGTAACGAGTGGGGGACAGAAAAGCTTCTTACAGAAGACGTTACAGGTGTCGTGGTCTGGGTGGTTTTCCACAGCATCAGCTCCTCCCCACTGGGTGGAGTCTTTGTTGTTCCTCACCTGATGGCAATCATACCAGCAGTATTTATGACCGGCGCGCTCAACTGGTCGTCGCCAGATTATCTGCCAACTTTAGTCAGTTCTCGGCCTCACGTCAATTCATTGGTGACTCATCATACGTATTAATCGTATCTCTGTTTTTCTCGTCAGCCTCGGAACCCCACCTACCAAGCTCTCCTGGATACCAGTTTGCTGCCGCCGGAAATCACTCTCCGTGTCGGAGCTGCCACTTTTTCCTGCCTGCCTCCCTGCATTGCATGCAGCACCTACCTGGACCTCTCCTGCCTCCCCTCTCCACGCAACCCTCACCTGCAAGTTTGTAAGAAAGATCAGTGCACTATCCTAAGACTCACTCGCAACCTTCTGTGGGATTCCCCTGACTGCTCTCTCCTCTGTTTCAGTGCCCTGGCCCGCCACAGTTTCCCCTGCCCAGTACCTGCACTCCATATCCCTGCCATCTAGTTATTATCACAGTATTTTCTCTCGCCTCAGACATCTAGTTTATGTTCATTGATTCTAGTCTGCACTTTCTGTTAGCTTTTGAACATTGTAAAATAAAATCTCATTTCGTTACACTTCACCCCTGGCCTCCGGGTTTGAATCTGCACTTGAGTTCATTCCATTTCCACGGGCCACTGCGCCTGACAGTATAATCTGGCCAGTGTATGGACTCAGCGGATCAAATCCGGACAGCCGTCTCAAAACAGGGCGCCATTCTTGGCTCTCACGAGGACGCGCTCCAGTTTCTCCTGGCGAAGGTTAACTTACTCACCGACGAGCAAGAGAAGATGCAGTCCGCGGTTCAGACCCTGCAGTCAGCCACTGCCCCGGAGCCCGAACCCGTTCCCGGTACGTCGGCATCGGTATCCGCGCCGCCGCCGCCTCAGCCCGCTGCGGATCCTGAGCCCCTGCAGACGCCGATGTTCCGCGATGCCGCCTCCCCGGAGCCGGAACCTTTTTCTGGCGGCCGGGAAGGATGTAGCGGTTTCCTCCTTCAGTGCGAGCTAGCATTCGGGCGCTCACCCCGCTCGTTTGTTTCTGAAACCGTGCGGATTTCGTATTTAGTCGGGAAACTGCGCGAGCGCGCCCTTACATGGGCAGAGGCGTATTTAGCTAGACATCCGTTACCGACTTGTCGTTATGACGATTTTCTGAGTGAGTTTAAGAAAACTTTCGCTCGCCCGACCTCTGAACGCAGTTCGGCGCGGAAGCTGTTGCATCTTCGTCAGGGACGGCGGAGCATTGCGGACTTCCTGATCGATTTCCGCATCGCCGCCGCTGAGGCGGGCTGGTCTGATCAGGCTCTGCATGGGGTGTATTTTCACTCTCTCAATGATGAGATGAAGGACCACCTGGCCTCCCGGGACGAGCCCGCTAATTTCGAGGAGCTGGTTTCCCTCACGCTTCGCATCGACAGCAGGTTGCGGGAGCGAGAGTGGGAGAGGGACTACAGTTCCCGTCGGCCTTTGCGGCGGTCATCTCCGGTCGTTTCTCACCCGCCACCGCTTCCGGTTCAGCCGTCCGCTCCCATTACTGGCACAGGGGGTGGTGAGCCGGAACCGGAACCCATGCAGATCGGGCGTTACCAGCTGACGGTGGAAGAGAGAGAGAGGCGCCGCCGTTCACACTCTTGCTTTTATTGTGGCTCCGGTGAGCATTTGATTTCTTCCTGCCCTCGGAAGGGAAAAGAGATCGCCCGCCGGTAGATCCGGGGGTACGGGTGGGCGGTACCAGGGTTAACGCTAAGCCCCGATTTTTGCTTTCTGTGACACTCTTACTCGGTCAGGGAGCCCACGTCTCATCAGCGCTGGTTGATTCAGGGGCCGAGCAGAGTTTGATTGACAGGGGATTTGCTGAACAGCTTCAGATCCCTCTTTTTGAGTTAAATCCGTCCATTCCAGTTAGGGCATTAAACGATCAGGTTTTTTCTCACATTACTCATCGCACTGCACCAGTTACCCTGATCACTTCCGGCAACCACAGAGAAACACTGATCTTTTACACCTCACAATCCCCTGACACGCCCATCATTTTAGGTTTCCCATGGCTAAGGCATCATAATCCTCACCTGGATTGGGTGGGACAGAGGGTCGTGAGTTGGAGCCCATATTGTCACGCTAACTGTCTCGTCTCAGCTGCCCCACCAGGGGCCACCGAGCCCTCTAGCAAGGAGAACCGCACCCCTGACCTCTCTGCGGTCCCCCCCGAATACCATGACATATCCGAAGTTTTTAATAAAGACAAGGCACTGTCCCTGCCACCCCATCGCCCTTACGATTGTGCCATTACCCTGTTTTCCGGCTCCACGTTGCCTTCCAGTCGCCTCTACAACTTGTCACGCCCTGAACGGGCTGCCATGGAAGAATACATCAGAGACTCACTGGCGGCTGGACTCATCAGACCTTCAACTTCCCCCGTGGGTGCTGGCTTCTTCTTCGTGGGTAAGAAAGATGGCACCCTCCGTCCATGCATCGATTTTCGGCCCCTTAATGACATCACAGTAAAAAACAAATACCCATTACCGCTCATCAGCTCCGCTTTTGAGCCCCTCCATGGGGCCTCCATTTTTACCAAACTGGATCTCAGGAACGCATATCACCTAGTCAGAATCAGGGAGGGGGATGAGTGGAAAACAGCGTTTAACACACACTTAGGACATTTCGAGTATCTAGTCATGCCATTTGGCCTCACTAACGCACCTGCAGTTTTTCAAACCCTAGTGAATGATGTCCTCAGGGATTTTCTGGACCGTTTTGTCTTCGTTTACCTCGATGACATCCTGATTTTTTCCAAAGACCTCAAGGAACACAGAGTCCATGTCCGGACCGTACTCCAGCGGTTGTTGGAGAACAAGTTATACGTCAAAGCCGAGAAATGCGAATTCCACTCACCGTCTGTGTCATTTCTGGGTTACGTTCTTGCAGGGGGGCAGGTGAAGACAGATCCGGCTAAAGTGAAGGCAGTAGCGGAGTGGCCACTACCAACCTCACGAAAACACTTACAGGGGTTTTTGGGCTTCGAACTTCTACCGCCGCTTCATCAGGAATTACAGTCAGGTAGCCGCTCCCCTAACTCGTCTAACTTCCTCTAAGCTGCCTTACCATTGGAATCCGGAGGCCGACGCCGCCTTCTCCCGGTTGAAAGAACTGTTTACCTCTGCGCCGGTCTTAATCCATCCTGATCATAGTAAACCCTTCATCGTGGAAGTAGACGCGTCAGGCGTTGGGGTCGGGGCGGTGTTGTCCCAGCGTTCAGGTCCATCTGCTAAGCTTCGGCCCTGCGCCTTTTTCTCCCGCCGCCTCTCACCTGCGGAGAGGAATTATGACGTTGGAGACAGGGAGCTGCTTGCTGTAAAGCTGGCGCTGGAGGAATGGCGGCATTTACTTGAGGGAGCAGAGCATCCATTCACCATTTGGACTGATCATAAGAACTTAACCTACTTACGCACAGCCAAAAGGCTCAACTCACGTCAAGCTCGATGGTCCCTGTTCTTTACTCGATTTAACTTTTCCATCTCTTACCGACCAGGCACCCGCAACACTAAGCCGGATGCCCTGTCCCGCCAGTTCGACCCTGTGTGTGACCCGTCTGATGCACCCACCGTCCTGCCAGCAGGAGTCAGGATCGGTTCTGTCGCCTGGGACGTGGAGGAGGACATCCGCCGTGCGCTGGAGACGGAGCCAGACCCCGGCACGGGCCCTCCGAACCGACGCTATGTCCCCACCGGGGCTCGCCCTAAGGTGATCGATTGGGTCCACAAGGGCAAATTTGCGTGCCATCCGGGTGGGGGGAGGACAGGCTCACTCCTTAAAAGGTATTTCTGGTGGGAGACTATCGATAAAGACGTCAAAGAATATGTAGCTGCCTGTCCTGTCTGCGCACGCAACAAAACGAGCTCACTACGCCCAGCTGGACTTTTGCAACCCCTCACTATACCGCATCGCCCCTGGTCTCACATTGCATTGGATTTCGTCACTGGCCTTCCCGCCTCCTCGGGTAAAACCACCATACTCACAGTAGTAGACAGATTCTCTAAAGCTGCGCACTTCGTCGCCCTAAACAAACTCCCCACCGCAACAGAGACCGCCAAGATTATGACCGAGCAGATCTTCAGACTCCACGGCATACCTCTCGAGATCGTGTCGGATAGGGGCCCTCAGTTCATTTCACGGGTATGGAGGTCGTTCTGCACCGCTGTCGGGGCAAAACCCTGCTTGAGCTCAGGATTTCATCCTCAGACGAATGGGCAGGCCGAACGGCTCAACCAGGAACTGGAGGCCACCCTCCGTTGTGTCGCTGCCTCCAACCCCGCCTCATGGTCCTCGTTGCTGCCGTGGGCAGAATACGCTCACAATTCGCTTACGTCGTCTGCTACTGGCCTCTCGCCTTTCGAAGCCTCCATAGGTTACCAGCCGCCTCTCTTCCCCGACCAGGAGGCCGACCTCGAGGTTCCCTCGGTCCAACACCATCTCAGACGTTGTCAGCGGGCGTGGAGGTTGACCCGTCGGTCGTTGTGCCGGTCCGTTGCTCGCCAGTCCCTGTACGCGGACCGTCGCCGCAGGGCAGCCCCTGCCTACTCCCCTGGGCAGAAGGTGTGGTTGTCTGCTAAGGACGTTCCCCTCAAGGTGGCGTCTCGTAAGCTGGCCCCACGTTTCATTGGACCCTTCGAGGTGGAGTGGGTCCTCAGCCCTTCTGCGCTGCGGTTGAAGCTGCCTTCCTCACTGCGCATTCACCCGACCTTCCACGTCTCCCAGGTCAAGCCGGTGGTCGTGAGTCCGTTGTGCCCTCCTTCCGCTCCCCCTCCTCCCGCCCGGCTCGTGGGTGGGCATCCTGCCTTCACGGTCCGGCGCATTCTGGACGTCCGTCGGCGGGGGCGGGTCCGGCAGTTCTTGGTGGACTGGGAGGGTTATGGGCCTGAGGAGCGGTCCTGGGTGTCTCGTTCCTTGATTTTGGATCCTGCTTTGCTTTCTGCTTTTTACAGGGCTCGCCGCGGGCCGCGGGGGGCTCGGTCGCCGGGGGTCGACCCTTGATGGGGGGGTAGTGTCGTGGTCTGGGTGGTTTTCCACAGCATCAGCTCCTCCCCACTGGGTGGAGTCTTTGTTGTTCCTCACCTGATGGCAATCATACCAGCAGTATTTATGACCGGCGCGCTCAACTGGTCGTCGCCAGATTATCTGCCAACTTTAGTCAGTTCTCGGCCTCACGTCAATTCATTGGTGACTCATCATACGTATTAATCGTATCTCTGTTTTTCTCGTCAGCCTCGGAACCCCACCTACCAAGCTCTCCTGGATACCAGTTTGCTGCCGCCGGAAATCACTCTCGGAGCTGCCACTTTTTCCTGCCTGCCTCCCTGCATTGCATGCAGCACCCACCTGGACCTCTCCTGCCTCCCCTCTCCACGCAACCCTCACCTGCAAGTTTGTAAGAAAGATCAGTGCACTATCCTAAGACTCACTCGCAACCTTCTGTGGGATTCCCCTGACTGCTCTCTCCTCTGTTTCAGTGCCCTGGCCCGCCACAGTTTCCCCTGCCCAGTACCTGCACTCCATATCCCTGCCATCTAGTTATTATCACAGTATTTTCTCTCGCCTCAGACATCTAGTTTATGTTCATTGATTCTAGTCTGCACTTTCTGTTAGCTTTTGAACATTGTAAAATAAAATCTCATTTCGTTACACTTCACCCCTGGCCTCCGGGTTTGAATCTGCACTTGAGTTCATTCCATTTCCACGGGCCACTGCGCCTGACAACAGGTCTGTGAGAGCCAGAGATTTTCCATGTTTGAGGTGACCAAATACTTATTTTCCACCCTAATTTACGTATAAATTATTTACAAATCCTACCATGTGAATTCATGGATTTTTTTTTTCACATTCTGACTCTCACAGTTGAAGTGTACCTCTGGTGCAAATTACTGACCTCTGTCATCATTTTAAGTGGGGGAACTTGCACAATCGGTGGCTGACTAAATACTTTTTTGCCCCACTGTAACTGAGGCTAAGTCTAAGTCTTTTGTGCCTTGGAGTTGAATATAGCACTAACTAGTGCCAGTCAATTTCTCAAAAAGGAAAAGATGTGGAAAGTCAATGCAGCAGCACTAATGTAGTGTCCAGTTCCTCTGGCTCATCACTTCTCCATCACTCTGCTTAACAGTTAGTACAAGGTCTTTGTGCTGACAATGCACAGCACCACATTTTGTCAAATGTGGTGCTGTGCATTGTCATCAAACATCTTTACTTTAGTCTCATTTGTCCAAAGAACATTATAAAAATAACTCAAGTTGAGAAAAAAAAAATCAGGAACTCTCAAACAGCCAGAGAGAGAACACAAGGCACCAGAGACAAAAGACCACCAAAATAAAATGGGAAAAAACCGAATGCATGAACAGAAACATAGACTTGAAACAAAAACAGAAAGGTAAACAAACACTGAGACGAGAGTGACTTCACAAGAATGCACAAGGAACACGGGAGGCATTATAACAGAAATATGAGATCGAATATAAACAAAACTAAGACCTGGATAACAAAACTGAGAAGTCCAGAGAAAACAAACAGGAAACACAGAGCTGTAATAAAGGACTGAACTAAAAAGAATTGCGACTATACTGAGACCAGAATCCTAAAACAAAGATAATCCAAAATACAATGCTTAAACAAAATTCAAAAACATCTCTCAAAACCTCTTGGCTTTGTGCATTTCATCAGCAGCAACTGGGTGCCACTGGCCCTCTTATTAAGAGGTAACAGTGTAGTAAGAATTTCACAAGACTGCATAGAAACCTGTTTAAAAATTCTTTTTCACATGACTGCGTTGAAATCATCAAATAAGCAAGGAAAAAGTAATTTTCTTACTAATAAATTTCTCCCTTTCTGCCAGCTTCTGATGCCTCACACTCGCTACACACTTCAGATTAACGTCTTAGCTCGGCAACTTCTAATATCTAAGACGGGAGTTTTGACTCGGGTACGAAAAGACCAACACACTGAACAGACCAAAACCTAAACAACATTTTCTTTTTTACTATTGTGTACAGTATTTGCTTCTCACTTGTATTTGTTGTATCTGTTCTCTAGTATGCAGCTTCTGGTGGAAAGGGTGTAATCACAATCCTGCAGAAATCGTTATCCTCCCTGACCTACAGCTCCCTCTGTATCCCAGATGATATTGCAGAACGTGGGCTGAAAGATGTACCAAATTTCTACTACAGGGATGATGGATTGAAGCTTTGGGAAATCATCTTCAGGTTCTCTAATTCTCCCTCTGAGTGCTTACTCGGGTCAACTTTATTTTTAGCGTTTTCCATTAGTACCTACTCGGCTGGCGTTCCAAGCAACCTGAGTTGATCTAAAAATGTGACATCAGTAGACTGCAAAAATCAAAACTTCCATATTTGAAACCTGGAAATGAGGGAAAGGGCAACACAAAACCCAACACCGTGGTTTCCTCAGTCTGACAAAAAGAAAAGTCAGAGGGGCAGTATACCATCGCCTTGACATCCTCCATTGCTTTGTTTGTGTTGAATACATATTACATAATGGGAGCTTCTGCCACATTGCTCAACCCCCCCCCCACCCCCCCCCACCCCCCCACCCACCCATCCACTCACACACTGTACTCATTTGCGAAGGAAAATGACCAAGACAGAGTAGAATCAAGTCGGTAAAAGGGGAAAAGAGGTATTAGTCTAACTATCAGGTTAGGCCTAATTGGTCAGTTTGTGGAGCAGTGGGGAAAAACTCACTTTTTTTCAAATAAAAAGCCTTATCAGGATGCTCATGTGTTAAATTTGGGTCAAACAGTTTATTACAGTATGGTGGTAAATATAGAGCTATGTCTAGAAATATATGGAGTGTAACAACATTTTTATAATATTGTCTTATAAAAATCATGTCAGGAAAAGTCAGGAGAAAGCGCAGAGGTCCAATTTGGGATTACTTTGAATATGACTGTGTTTTGGATAAAGCAAGTGTCTTGTAGTGGAAAGCGACAAATTATGAGTAGGGATGGGTACCGGTGTCGGTTCTGACATAAACGGTAGTAACCAGACCGAAAAGCAGCGCACATTTCGGTGCTTTATTTCGGTGCTTTTTTTTCCTGAGCTGTGATACACTTCTAGCCAATCATTTTACGTTTCCGAGGATAGTAGGTGGGCCAGTTACGTACGTTCCTTTAGAGCAGAGCTACAGATTAAAAATGCCCAAGGCGAAGCGGTCAAAAGTCTGGCTGTACTTCACAGCAAAATATGCAAACTCAGCAGCCTGCAACAAGTGCTTTAAGGTGATACTGTGATACTGTCAAAGGAGGTAACACCTCAAATCTGATGAAACACCTGGCGACGCATAGCATTTTTTTTAAAAGCCCAGAAATGTGCCGTATTTGATAGCTTGCTACGAGACCTCACACCGAGCACATCTACTGCGGGTGGGTTGCCTGTTATGCAACATCCCCCAAAAACACGAAGAGGAGAGTCCTGGCCCCTAGTCCTGCCAGTGTAGCAGAAATGATGAGGATGATGATGATGATGGCAGCAGCAGCCGTTCTTCTCTGCGTGAGTAGCTTAATGTTGTTCGTGTGTAATTTACGTTGAGTAGGCTAACCACGTTATTACATTAATGCATGTAAGGTGAACAAGCAAACATCATCATAGCTACATGCGGCTGTCCTCTTGTTTGATGGCAGATACTCCCTTCACCCTGGCCAAAAAGGCTAAAATGACCAAAGAAAAAGTGGAAAACAGTTAAACATGAGAGGTTTTTGGACAAAGTTTGTGTTTTTTCCATTGTTTAAGCACTGCTTCCAGCCAAGAGTGATGCCATATATGCCCCATAGCTGTAGAAAAGGCTAACATTGTTATCTTTTTACAAAAAACAGCTGAACATGAGAGGTTTTTGGACCAATTTTGTGTTCTCCATTCTTTAAGCACCGGTTTGAGCACCGTTTGAGCACCGGCACCGTTTAAAAAGTACCGATTTGGCACCGGTATCGGATAAAACCTAAACGATACCCATCCCTAATTATGAGGGACATTTCTATAAGGAAAAAAATCCCACAATCCTTAAACTGCACTTGAAAAGCTCGCACAAGAAGGCTAACCTAGCTTACCTTGAGAAGGTAAGGGAGCACACTCAACCCTAATCCCCAGAAACAGAATCTAACCCCAGGCCAGGCAGTGTGATGCATCCCGAGACAACAGGACGGGGATATCTACACAACTGTGTGAGCCTTCAAGAAGTTTATCAATTCACTTGAACCAAAATATGAACACCCGGTGCTGCAAGAGTTAATAGTCTCATTCGGGCTAAGATATATGGAACGCCAGGACTGCCATAATGAATTAATTAAATACACCATTAAATAATTAATTAAATGTGGCAATAATTAATTAAAATTGGAATTAATTAATTAAATAAATAGTTATGACACATGTAATTAATTAATTATTGACACATTTAATTAATTATTTATGTATTTCACATTTTAATTAATTATTGACACATGTAATTAATTAATTATTGACACATTTAATTAATTATTGACACATTTTAATTAATTATTGACACATTTAATTAATTATTGACACATTTAATTAATTATTTAATGATATATTTATTTATTTCATTTTGGCAGTCCTGACGCCTGGCTCTCGTCATGAAATAATTTTATCTGTCAGCCTCACCCATCAAACTCAGGGTGCGGGGTTAACGCTGCCCATGCAGCTTCTCTAACATTTGATTGGTTGCCGTGCAAAGTAAGTCAAAACAGGTCGATCCTAGAAAATCGATTGCTTGTGTAGACTTGGGGCAGCCAGTTATCCCAGAATGCAGATCAAATCACAGGCAGCAATGGTGGTGGTGTAGTTTTAAAATACCCCGTTTTTCTGTCACCAGCTACACTTTTAACAGTGTTTTAGCCGCGAAAGTCGCGACGTATGTCTGGTCAGGTTGTCAACATAGAACATGTTTGCAAAAGTGCTCAGATGTTTTCAGAGATTTCACTAGCTCTGCTAACAATTAGCATGCAGAGTGCACCGAGGGGGTTACGTTAACCGGTTTGTTTACATATTCCACTCTCCGTGTTCCACATGTTGCATTCGCAGATTCTCATTTTCACCGAACGATCGTCTCTTTCCGCCTGGTCTTGTGTCTCTGTGCTTCTGTAACATAAAGAACGAGCTGACATTTTTCTCACGAAACCAGCGATCAGCTCAACAGACCCTCAGTTTACCTGCATGCATCCTCCTCCTCATCTGTCAGCTGTTTAACACCTGCTGCTAATTCAAGAAACACGCCTAAGTTACCTGGTGATAGTCACAGTTTAACTGGGCAGCCGGTGCTCGATATAACGCAATGTCAGCGCATTTTTCTGCACAAGATAAGTAAATATAGTATTTTCCCCGAGCGCAGAGCTGCTGGAGCTCGTTTCCTTACAGAGCACTTTATAGGCGAACAGCTTTATCAGCGGCTGATGTCCAATCACCGGCACACAGCTTTCAAACCTCAGCTGAGTTTTAGCTCTCAGTGGTTAAACGCTGGACTTCATTCACTCAGGTTCTGTCTGTCGGGTCACATTTACTTCGCTGTTTTATTTACAACTGAGCAAATCGGTTTGGCTGAGGTTAAAGTTACGTTTCATAACTGCATAGTTTCACAGACGTTTAATGGTTCACTGGCACATGTGTTAGACTGAACTATCATCTAAATATCATCTGTTTTTTAATAGTTATTCAACTGTATTCTAAGCACCAGCTGTCTGTTAGAATGTGATTTTTTTTCTCTCTCTCTGTTGGCAGAGGTATAAAAATGCGCAGGAAAATCTTACGTGCATGGCAAACTTCACCGACGATATTTAGGGAGGAATAAACACACATCAAACATAAATGAACCATTTGTCTGTCTCCATAATTGAGATAATTTTCTCTTTATATGTCAACACTCTCTCTCTTTTTTTTTCTTTTTTTTTTGCTTTTTCGGTCATGTTATGTTTACCTGTCAAAGGCTTGTTACAAACTATGAAACACATTGTGCAGACTTCTGGATGTTAGAAGAAAACTAATACTGCTCATGAATGAGACTAAAGGCAGGAAGGTGTCCTTTAAAACTAAACATGTTAATAGGACCTCCCTGTTTATATCATAGTTTATGATATAGCACGTGTATTTCAGTAATAGCCTGCTGAGGCCACTATACGTGCTGGCCTCATATCAAATGTGAAGGCAGACTGAGTCTATGTTTGACGTTTTTTATATCTAATCTTCCTTTTCAAACATTTAAACAGCAGCGAGTCTGCAGCTGAGGGAACACAAATTCAAATTGTCGGAACAGGTTTGCTCGTTTCTTGGATTCATTTGGTGATTTATTAAATGTATAACTGTTATTCTAATCTGCTGCTGAGTCTCTTACACTTTTCTTTATGCTGTATATTTTCACGTCTCTGGAATAGTTGGCAGTTAGATAGTCAGCTGGGAAACTTTGTGTTAACTCATGGAGCTGAGGATATCGTGGATATGCTGACCTCGCTGCGTGGTGTACAGAGCGAGGTCAGCATGATTAATATTCACAATAAAAATATTAGCCGAACGTCATGAAGTCTGTATGTGTTTCATAGTGTCGAACAACCTTTGTACAGTTAAAGCCAGCAGTTACTACATGACGGAAACACCAACGTTATCTCTTTTATGTGTTTATACACAGGTCACGCTGATTACTGAACAAAAACCCAAAGATCAGATGTTAAACAGATTTATTTGCTCTCTCTCCTCCTTAAACATGTTTTTAATGTTAGTTATAATTCAGAATTGGCGACTGAAACACGTAGGACACATAAGAACATCAGGAAATAAAACATCGATAAATATAACCTCAGTAAAAGAAGTCAGCGGGGGTTACTACAGCTGTGTACCGGGGCCTGCGCTTTGTCGGTGGGATTGCTTGCGAGGCGAGCGGGTCTATCCCACGCTTTGCCGTGAGACTGGGCAGACATCTCCGAAATCATCGAAGCACTTTTGCAAAGAGGCTGTATCTTGACAAACCGACCAGACACATGAAGATTAAACCACTACATTCTCGGCTAAAAAAATATTAAAACGGTATTTGGTAACACACAAACAGGGTTTTTCAAAGCTCAGTTCTGTTAGCTTCCACATGCCGGTTGTTGTGTGCAAGAAACAATGGCCACCAGGCCAAAGCAATGGTTTTGACTCGATCAGCGTTAGCCCCGCCCCCTGAGTTTGATGGGTGAGGCTGA